AGGCCACAGCCCAAAGGTCACCTTCCTCACAGAGTCCCTCTGCCTAAGGTGTCCCCAGCCACTGTCCCCCCAGTGCCATCATGGTTCATCACCCTGTTTCCACGGTAGGGCTTTTCGCTGACGCCACCTGGTCCGTGGGCATGTCTCCTTGGGACCTTTGTTTCTGGCCCCCTTGACGGTCCCGGGGCCTGACACGGGGCCTGGCTCCCAGCAGACGTCCGCCCAGCACGTGGGCAGCTGGAGCAGCCTCTCGGGTTCTGCGGGTCCTGGGCTGCCGTCAGGTTCGAGATGAGGGATGCCCATCGAGCACCCCCCATCTCATCTCAGCTCCTGGCTTTCGGCAGCAGAAGGCAAACCCTGTTCCAGGGCCCCTTTCCCAGACCTTCTGAGGCACGTGGTGTGCCCAGCACTCCCCGGGAGCCTGGTGCAGCAGGGACTGGCCACGGGCCTGGAGTCTGCATTTTTTAAGCAAATAGGTCAAGATGCTTCTCATGGCGGGAGTTTGGGCAGACCTGGCCCCCAGCACGCCCAGGGTCAAGGCCAGGCTGCATTCCTCATGCGTGGAAGAGCTGAGCCAGGCCCCTGCTGCCTGAGGACCCTCGTGGAGGTGGAAGGAGGGGCTCCTGGGTCCTCACCTGGGCCAGGGGTGGAGACAGGTGCCTCTGGCCGTGGCTGCTCACGTCAGTGTGGTCACTTGCTTCCCCCCAAACCAGGGCTCCCTTCCACCGAGGACCCCCGCTTGTGTTCCTGAGGCTTTGGGGGGCCCGGCAGTGAGCTCCCCAGGGTGGAGCCTGAGGCTGGCCTGAGCCCAGTGCCCGTCAGGCTTTCCTTGAGTGGGCACTGGTTTGCCTGAGCACAGCACAAGAGCACAGAGGGGTACCTGGGGCTCAGGTGGGATCTACCTGGAAAGAGGTTGGTTCTTTCCTTTTGGGATCAGCCAGAGGGGATGAGAGGGCAGCTCCTTTGCAGCGGTCTTGCCCCTCATTATGACCACGGCCAGCGTTCACCTTGACATTGATGATCTCATGTCACCCTTCACCACACACCAGGGGCTGGGTGCTAGGATCAGCATCATTTGTGGGAGAACGCTGGAGCCCAGAGAGGCTTGGTCACACGCCCCCGTCTCACTKCTGGGCAGGTGGCCAGGAGGACCGGCTGTCCTAACCACCGTGCCTGTGGCTGCCAGAGCCTGCCACCCTCGGAGCTGCAGAGGCTGGAACGCAGCACAGAGACGAGAGGAACGGTTCTCACTCAAAACCCGAGCCCTGAGTCCAGCTGCTCTCGGGCCAGAGTCACCTTAGATGTGGGGTTATGAAAACCCACAGGCTGCTGCTTTGTAAGCTGGTTTGATTTTTTTTTTCTTTCTGTTGCTTCCAAGAGAAAGGATCCTGATTGCTCTACAGTCCTTCTAGGAAAATACCCCTCCAATTCCATTCGAAACTTGCACACAGCAGCTGCTCAGTGAACACCAGCAGAGGCGGGTGAGCCCTGGCTTCCTGCCCACCAACCGCCGGGTCTGTAACCCCAACGCCCAACTGCAGCCAGCCCAGCGCATCTTCCCCCCGAGGCTCCAAGTGAGGCCTAGTTCCCTAGCAACCACCCCATTAGGCAATCATGCCATTTATCAGGATGCCAATTAATTATAATGATCTTAATGATCTCCCAATTAGATACAGCCTTGGGTCTGGCTGGAGCAGGGGCATCTGCAGGATGCCCACCAGGGCCCGGGACAAGGCGGCCTGCAGAGGCAGACCCCAGGGAGGCCCCCTCACCTGCCGTCGGTGCTGAGCTCCACCTTCCACACCTGTGGCCGGGCTGGGCCCAGCCACCCAGGACCCTGGACTCCATCACCAGCCACAGGGGGGCCTCTCCTCCAGGAGGATGTCCATCCTCTGGCCATGGTGCTTTTAAGGACTAAAGTCATGACTTCAGATTCTGGTAGCTTTTTTCTTGAGCCCCGTTTGGTGTTTCACTTTGCATTTTGATGGGGGGGGGGTGCACACATGCACAGCGGAAGGAAAAAGCATCTCACAGCTGCTTGCTTTCCTTGGGGCAAAAAACTCCACCCCCCCCCAAACCAAAAAACACCCCAAGGCAAACGAGACTCCCTAGTCATCGGAGGCTTCTGAGCGAGAAAGAGCAGTTTTACGAACTCTGCGTTCTTCACTGAGCATAGATTTTTCTTTTTCCTCCAGTTGGATAAAAAGGCCAAGGTCGTGGAGGAGGAGGACCCAGAGGTTCTGAGTGGAACCTACAGCCCCAGGGCTTCACCACTGACCCTGCCTGCAAGTCACACTCTCTGCGCCCCACGCCCCAGCATCCTCATCTTTACCATGACAACGGTCCCAGCACCTGCCCCTCAGAGTTTCTTATATCACATTGAAGCGCTCTGAAGTACTTGGCCACTAACACTAGCCAAGCACTGTCCACCGAGCTCACAACAAACCCTTCTTGTAACTACAAGCTGGCCAGGGTGCGGAGAGCCTTCCGCAGGACAGGGCTTCTGGTGGGGGGAGGGGAAACTCTCAGAACAGACACACGCTTGAGGAGAGCATGACTGTCCCCTCTGGCTGACCCAGGAGCCTAGAAGCTGCCCCCTTGAGGCAGGCCTGGGCAGAGGAGTCCACTCAAGCCAGGACAACAGAAGGGGAAACAGGATCCCAAGTGGAAGGCGGACTTCAAAGGGCAGGCTGGGAAACGGGCCCTGGGATGGCTGCTGAGGCAGGTCTGGCTATTCATGGTCACACACAGCCACAGAGAGCGCAGTGCCTCCCAAGCCCAGGTTTTTTCAATCAAATCATCAGTCAACCCTTAAGTCAGAAAACTTAACATGTTATTAGGGGTTTCAGAAAAAGCCATAAATTCAAATAAAAAACCCAAGAAGTAAACACAAAGCCCAAAGCCACACTGACCCTCAGCCGTGGCAGAGATACCAGCACTGTGCCTTTCTGCACACACGCTTGCCGGGGGAAGACGGTGTCCTCCTGAGCAGACGCCCCGTGCCCTCAGCCAAGATGCATGTCCCCAAGCTGCCCGTTCTGGGACTAAGTTCCCGGGGGGGGGGGGGGGGGGGGGGGGCCCGGGGGGCTGGTGGCCCTGAGCTCTCCCCCTCTATAACTGGACCTGCAAGGCTTAGGGGGAGGGGTCTT